GGGCAGCCCTGCTCGTTACTGTAACGAAAGTCCCTGCGGCAATGCCTATGCATTGCCGCTGGGACTTTCTTGGACTAGCGGATAGAGTGGACTAGCTGTATCCATGGAGGTGCTGAGTTCGAATCCCCAGTTGGCCATGGAAACTCCCTGGCGACGGTGCAAAATCACCTCTTAAAAATTTCACACACGTTGAAAATCTTACCAGCATCTCTGTTAACAGTAGCTAACACAATAGTATTACTAGCAGCTATAATAATCCGGTGCAAAGATGCTGGCGGGAATGAGGAACTCCTGGTACCGGCGCTGCTAAACTGGAAGCCCATCAGCTCTCTACCCAGCATAGCCCACGGTGAGGGATGATGTGAGTTGCAGCAGAAGTTTCCTCAGAGGGGCGGCGCCTTTCCCAGCTGAGCTGCGCAACGAAAGCAACCCTAACCCGTGCCAGCGCCTCCTATTGAGTGAATTTCGGAATCTTTCAGATAGGGATCTCCTTGAGTGTTTTAATATATTTAAAAACAAATTACAGTACTTGGGAAGGGCTCACCTTGCTTTTTTTTTTAATTGCAGCCATGGAAATAAAGTGTGCAAAAAAGTATTTTGTAGGCAGATTTCCAGGCTCTTTAACTTTGCAGCTACATCCTCTCATCCAGGCCTCCAGCACTATACCTTGCACTTAGTACTTAGGATGTACAGTATATACTGCACAATGAAATATAGTAGGACCGCAGTAGTCAGTGATATCACAGATAAAGGAGCCCTACTGTACTTGCAGAAAGGTAATACTGTCAGTCTGTGCTAGGGTATCACACAAAAACAAAAGAAAAAAAAAACAGAAACATTCTGGCACCTTAAAGATTAAATGTTATAGTGTAATATGAACTTTCATGGGCAAATCCTCTTTCTGAGACATCTGGCAAAGTGGACTTGTCCACAAAAGCTGATCTTTTAATATGTGACTTAAAAGGGTGTGATCAGACAGGACTTTGTTCTGTGGTTTGGTCCAGTTAAGAGCAGTGGTTCCCATCCATGGGCAACCCAATTGTAAAAGCTCCTTCTCTATTCTTTTTATTGCAATTGACTGAACTAGCCACCCACCTATGGAAACAGAATATACATTTCACTATGAATATATCTGCCTCAAGAAAAGTGTCTCAATAACTCAGGAGGGCAAGAACATGGTCCGGCCATTGCACCACATTCCCTGAAAGAAAAGCTTCCAGGGTTTTAAAAAATACCCAATTGTAAAAGCTCCTTCTCTATTCTTTTTATTGCAATTGACTGAACTAGCCACCCACCTATGGAAACAGAATATACATTTCACTATGAATATATCTGCCTCAAGAAAAGTGTCTCAATAACTCAGGAGGGCAAGAACATGGTCCGGCCATTGCACCACATTCCCTGAAAGAAAAGCTTCCAGGGTTTTAAAAAATATTAATTCAAGGAGGGCAAGAACATGGTCCGGCCATTGCGCCACATTCCCTGAAAGGAAAGCTTCTAGGGTTTTAAAAAATATTAATTCAAAGAAAAGAAAAATATCTAGAGGAGAGACCATGAGAAAGATTTAAAACAACAACAGAAAAATATCTAGAGGAGAGACCATGAGAGAGATTTAAAACAACAACAAAAATAAAAACAACAACTGTGTATTAAGAAAGAGAGGGACCATTTTGTCCTTTCTAGAACCTGCTAGAGCCCGCCAGGGCTGCCACAAGTTCTCCTGCCACCTGGGGCAGGAAGAGGAGCGCAGCCGGCCATTGCCCTCATTGTCGCTCGGGACCCACAAGGCTCAACCGGAGGAGGAAGAAGATGGCAGGGCACCATCTCGATAACCCGGCTACTTCTCAGGCAGGTCTGGGCATAATGCCTCTCACACACTTCCAAGGCCTTGGGGGGTGAAGTAGTATATGGGGAGGGGGTGATTTTTTAAAAAAATTCACTAACCTTCCCCATAATGCCTCACACACCCCCAAGGATCTTGGGGGCTGAGGCATTATTGTCAAAGCCAGCTGAAGAGCAGCTGGGTTATGGAAGAGCTTGGTTGGGAGGAGAAGGAAGAAAGAGGCCAGTGGCAGGTGGTCCAGACGATGGAGAATGGGGTGGAATTCCATCACGTGAGGCGACTTCCTCAGTTAGGCGAACGGCTAGGCTGGCCTGAGAGGGAGGAATTAAGCAGTTCATTTGATTTGTGGGAGATTCAAACCAAACAAAGGGAAGAGCCTATTTACACACACAACATGTGTGAAATTTGCTCTCACACTCTGCCATGAAGTGTTTATAATGGGATATGATGAAAAGGTCTCTATTGTCTGACGTTAGCCATAGCAGTAATGTTAGAAAAAGCTGAAAGCAAGCAGGGGTAGGAGTAAGACCAAATATGAGATGGTTTGACTCAATAAAGCCACCGCCTTGCGTTTGCAAGAATGGAGCAGAGCCATTAAGGATAAGACATGTTGGAGGTAACTCATTCATAGGGTTGAACAGACATAACAAGAAGTCATAACAATGAAATGGAATTAAATGAGTTGGTGACAGAAGTATGTATGGTCTTCCTAACCCAGCTATGGAGAATCAATCCTTAAATTGTCCTTTGGACATCAACAACAACAAAAGCTGTATGATAAAAGACATACTCCCATCTATTGGTGAAAGCTCTTAGTTGCACATATAATAATAAAAGATTGGGATGATATGGTGGATTTTAAACCATATTTATCAAAAGCAAAACCCTTACATAAATAGTAATCTAAATGCCCCAGATGCAAACAATGAAAGGAGAAAGGGTACATTTACTCCTCAGCCTTTCACAGCTGACTCACAGGCAAAAATGAA